CGGTGACCTTTTCAGCTTTGCCTTATCTTTATCACGGCCGTCGCTTCGGCCAGTCCCCGTCTTTAAGGGACTTGGAAATGGAAGCTACCTTCGACGGTATGGACTTCGCCATATCCGGGGTGGAGATTCGATCGTTCCGGCTGTTTTGGCTCTCCTTCCTTTGTTTTGCCGACCGTTTTAAAGCTTTGTTTCTTCCTCTCTTTGTTTGACTGCCTGCTGCAGCTGCTTTACAGTTTCGTTTGCGTCTTTCTGAGCTTCTCATAATCGTTGTTTGCTTCAGTGACCTTTTTCATTTGTTCGAGGATTGTACTTGCTCGGTTATCGAGAGTCTTATCGAGATCCATTTTTGCTGTTTTTAGATCTCAGCCGCTTCAACCGTGTGATACGATCCGCTCTGTCTGCGAGGGTCCTTCCTCTCGCTTCGCATTCCTCTTCAACTGTCTTGAATTTATCATCCTTTTCCATTATTGTAGTGGCCAATTCGACAAGTTCATCGCTCAATTTGGCGATCTCTTCTTTTTGTCTTTCATTCTCTTGCTGCCCTTCTCTATTTGCGACCTCTAGCACGGTGACCCGTTCGTCACGCTGTTGTGCTACGGTCAGCCATTTCTTTGCTTCTTTCTTTTGGTTCTCGACTTCATCATTGAGTCGCTTGAATTCCGTTTTCGTCTTTTCCGCCAGTTCAAGGAGCCTTTTTGTCGCTTGATCTCTCTGGCCTTCTGCTTCGTTTTGTTTGTTTTTCCTCTCTTGTAGTTCCGTTTGCAACGTATTCACAAGTTCTTCACGTAGTTTAAGGTCATCCTTCAGTTTCGAGATATCAGCCGTCAGGCTGGTGACCTTTCCGGTGAACTTTGTCGCATTTGACAGCGATTCATCGCGTTTCTTCTCGGCCTCCTTGACCTTTGACTGTAAAAGGTCACGCTCCTTTTTCAGTTCCGCTATTTCTCGTGACCTTTCAGCTGCTTCCTCGGACAACCCGTAGTCTTCTGCGGTGAGCATACCTTCCGCGTCTCGATCTTCGACCATTTTCCTTAGATCTTCCGCAGCTTTTTTCTGACCTTCGAATCTGACTCTCCATTGTTGTGCTTCGTCTTCGAACGTGACCTTTTCTTGTTCCATCACGCTCAGTCTGGCTTCGACTTCAAAGGTTTTATTGCGTTGGTCTCGTATCGCGGCAAAAGCTTGCGCTTCCTTCTCGTCAAGTAGCTGTTCCAGCTCCTTGACACGCTGCTTTAATCCATTCATTACGGATGTTTTTGGTGATGGTGACCTTTGATCCCGTTCGTCAGTCCTTCCTGGCGCCGTCCCCTCAAAGGTCTCTTCTAGCTTTTCATTTAAGGTCATCTCTGCCAAATCAGCTTGCTTCATTGCAGTGTGGAAGGACATCTGAACCGTCGTTTCGTCCTCATCGTCAGTGTAAAACTTGTCACTTGACATGGGGCTGGTACCATTCTCTTTCATCTCTTCTTGTAGGAACAATGAGTTATCCGAAAGGTCGTCCTGTTTGACCTTTCCTTCGTCAATCAGCTCGTTGCTGCTGACGGCGCCACCACCTTCGGTGACCTTTCGACTGACTTTGTCACTTCCCTTCTCAACTTGATCCGCGTTTTCCTCCTTGACCTTTTCGGCCGACCGTGCCATTCCTCCGGTCTCGGCCTTCAGGTCATCTTTGTTCTCTCCATCTGTAACCATTCTCACATCGGTGACCTTTGCTGAGTCTACCGTGTTATCTCCGGCATGTCGCCGGAGTTCTCTCCACCATCACTGAGCTCTCATTCTGAGTTTCAGGCCGTTTGGTATGTGGCCTCTGAGCCTCTGGTGTCCTTCCTCCCAAAGGTCTTCTGAGCTCGAGTTGTCTTTCGTGTTAAACTGGCCGTGTGTACGGCTGCCTTTACTATACGGGTTTTCCGTGTCCCTGACCGTTTTCCTGGGACCCTGATGAGATCGGTTCATTACCGTCTGTGTCTTGATCCATATCTTTGTCTTGACTTGAGTTGATGATCGGATAACTTGGACGATGCTAATAATGTTTCTGACACGTGTGTTAGTTTAAGCTACGTAAGCCCCTTTACACGTAAACAGAAACAAGCGCTGTCCTAAAGGTCACCTTCCTTCGTGTCAGCTCAACTTTACTAAAGGTCACTCTGCCTCCAAAAAACTAAGTCTTTTCTAAAGGTCACTTTTTCCTTTGAAAAATTTAACTAAGTCCCTTTTAAAGGTCACTTCCTTTAGTGAAATGAGATTAATTTCCCACTGTTTCAGCTTAATAGCTTACTCCGTCGCGTTAAAGGTCACTTTTTCCTTCAAAACTTTTCTGTTTAAAGGTCACTATCAACTTCGGTCTAGAACGTCTAACCTTGGAATATTTTTCGATTTTATTGAGAAATCAACTTAGATTTCCTCAAAATAAACGTTATTTATTCAGCTTCAACTTTAAAGGCCATCATTCTCGTCAAATTTTTGGTAAAGGTCAACTTCTCGTCAGTCACAGAAAGTTTTCTTAGCTAGCTACGTCACGATCTTGAACGTCGTGCGCAAAAAACTCCGCCTCCTTACAAAATCTCAGCTTTTAATTGGCTGATTCCTAGCTAACTTTAGCTACGCTGCTGCCAATCACAGTGCGAATAACCGACCAATCAGAAGCGTTGTTTTCTGTTTATAAGGCAGAGTGACGTCACGACCAAAACCGAAAATTTTAGCGCGCCGTGCGCAAAGTACCGCCTACTTCTCTGCCCAGCCAGAACCGACGAATGAAAATGGAGATTTTACCTATCGACCAATGGTAAAATTAATAACCGAAATTCTGACCTGCTCGTCTCCCAAGTCCAGATCGATCCTGCGTCCTTCCGCGAATCCTCCTGATGCTCCTCCAGCGATTGCTGACTTCTCCTGGGCCAGCCACCCCTGCTTCGTATCAGCAGGACGCAGCGGTGCGTCGACCAAAAGACTTGCTGGCTGTGGTCTTGTCGCGCCTTGACGTTGGCAACGACAGGGGCGCTCGATCACCCTTTGGGGAGCGCGTATTATGTGCTCTCTACGGTAGAGTAGCACCTGAAACTCCACACCCGCAGTCCAAAGTGGCTTGCCCTCGTGCCCCCTTCGGGCTTCTGCCTCTTCTGCGATCTTTCTCGGCGCTTGTGCCCTCCAGTCAAAGCTACGAGAGAAGCCCTGACCGCGTCAGACTGATACAGTGCACTCTACGCAGTAGAGATGCACCGTTTTCAAGTCTGCTGAGTGGATCCAACGCCCTTCGCCACGAAACCGTACGCGAGCCCTTTCTCGGGAGAAATCCTCCACTCTCGTCAGATGGACGGGAAAACTCAGGATTATCCTGGAGAACACGACTCTGCTACCATATAAGCGTGGACCTGATGAAGGTTCACGCGTAGGAACAGAATTAACGGAATTCTGCCTACCAAACAGATCTGGCAATGCTATACAGCGCCTACGCTATGGAAAGCGAGAAATGGCGTGATTGCTAGAACTTTATGACAACACTGAATTCGATAGAATTTCCTCTTCGACAACTTCGCATTGCTCACTGCAGCAAGCGAGGAAAATGCGCACGTAGCCGCCACACAGTGCGGGTGCGCGCAGAACACCATGCTTTCGCCACGCGTAAGGCGGGCGCGCAATGAACACACAACAGACTGCCAAGCGAGGGTGTACGCATGTACGCCTGCGCTCACAAATGGAAAGCGCATCGTCAACTGCATACGATAATGCAGCAATGCAAAATGAAAACGCCGTACAGTTTGGCGGCATCGCTGATAATGAAGAATTGTGGAATGACATGCACCCGTTGCAGTCGGAACTAGTTGAATTTTCGCTTGACCAAAATAGGTTTGAAGCAGCAATTGAAAATTGGGATATTACAATTGATGAAGAAGTAAATGTTTATGAATTAAAAGAGATTGCTTGGGCATCTCTGTATGCCGCACTTGCACTTCAAAGGAAGTACAGTAATGCAAGTCGCATATGCCATGCGTTAAATGGCCGTAATACGAGTATGGAAATTGAAAATAGTGCGCTTAAAGCTGAACTTACTAAACTGCGCAATAAAACTGAAAGGTTTGAAAACGAATGTTGCGTTGAAAGAACACGAGCCGATAAACTGATGGAGCGTCAACTAGCGCATATGTTAAAAATGGAGGAAATGCAGCGAATGCCTGTAGCATCTGAAAAAATTCAGTACCCGCAAGTGTATGAAGGTACACAGGAAAGAGGAAAGTGGTAAAGTGGAACGGTTCATTCTTGATTGTGAACGATGTAAAGATTTGAATGGCTGGAGCGAAAAACAATTGATTGAAAAAGGACTGTCATATGCATTGAAGGGTGATGCATATCTGTGGTATGCGGAACATAAAAAATTAAATTCCGATAGGGACTGGAAGGAATGGAAAGTCATGCTAATTAATCACTTCTCATCGGAGAGTGACCCGGCCGAAATACGGCAAGCAATGTATGCACGTGTCTTCACAGAGGAAGACACGGTAAACTCGTATGTTGATGGTTTCTTAAATTGGTTTAATACACTGAATACAAAAGAAGAAGAAAGAGTATCAGTTCTCATTCAGGGACTAAAAAATACTCGTATGAAGTGGTACGAAAAGTTGATTATTTCAAAACCGAAAACTGTTGAAGATGTTATGGCACAGCTAAAAACGCTGTACGTACTGAAAGTGCAACGAGAAATGTATGAATATGAAGATGACTGTGGAAATGAATACGATGAATATGAAACTGAAAGTTTGAATAATGACGAATGTGAATATGATGAAAATTATGAATGTTATAATAATAACGGTAATAAGCCGTACATGATCGAAAATGTCGAAATTGACGTTAACAAATGGCGAACCGATAGCGGTCAGCCGATCTGTTTTAAATGTCATGAGCTTCATCCTGCAAAGTACTGTACATTTACTGGTAAATGGAAGGATGTAACTAAAGAACCGCCGCTTGACGTGTTGAAACGGTACAATATGAAGCGAGTGGAAATGCGGTCACTGGAAATTCGTACTGTACAGTGCGAATTAAAATCAGTTGAAAATGTGGAAACTGAAGTGCAGCAGCACTCAAGTTTGCGGGGGCGAACGGTGCCCAGTGAGCTACCGCCCGATATGTCGCAAATGACTGTGTCCAGTCAAGTTTGCGGGGGTAAGCCCGTTAATACTGGTAAAGCCTTAATGGCTGAAAATTTTGTAAACGAAAAATTTTGGAAAGCCGAGCAGCGCAAGTACAAAGATACCAAACACTGGTATTACTTGTACAAAAATCCCATCAAAGCGAAAAATAAATTTCAAAACGAGGAAATTTATCACATGATTGTGAAAAATGGTTTGTTGTGTCGTAAGCGCTCAGTAAATGGTATTGACAGAATTATTGTGCCTAAAGAATGGCAAGTAAAACTTGTGAAATCAGTAAGTGAACAATGTGTAAAGAACGAATTAATACCGTGCGGAGTGTCAGTTCAACAGTATCTGACCACCAGGTATTACTGGTGTAATATGGTGAAAACAATTGAAAGTGTTCTGTCAAAGTTTGAAAATGCTGAAATGACTGAAAAGGCGTTTAAAAATGGGTCAGATTGTGCGGGAGCGCCGAAATCTGAATGCGTAGCTGAAGTCTGCGGTAATTCACCGAATAAAAAAGTTGAAATTAATAATTCTCAGTCGCAGGGAGAAAGCCCTTGTATTACGAACTCAATTCATTATGAGTATGAATTGGCTGGTAGACGCATCGACGCAGATAATTGCGAGAAACATAAAATGGTTAATCAGACTGTAGCAGACTTGAGTAATGCGATAATTGTTGATGATCAAGAACTGAAAATGGTGTTTGAAGACAGGCCCAGTGATTTGGACAAACTTCCAAATGCACCTGTGAATTTCTTGGGATTTTATTCCCGAAGATATCCTTTTTAAATGCCGTCATACGGTGATTGTACGTTTACTGACAGAGTCGCATTGGTGACCGCCTTTGGGTGTTATGCTGACTACTTGCGTTTGACTGTGTTTCGCAATTTTCAAAGTGGTGTTTCCTTTTATTTTCATTTTTCATCGCGGATGTTTTTTGCTTTAGTTTTTCACCGGCGATTTACATTAGTCGGCGATTTAGTTTTTCATCGGCGATTTACATTAATTTAATGTTTGCCACTGAAAAAACATGAACTTTGTTTCGTTCCGACGTTTTCCTGTTTGTTTTACTCCGACTGCCGTTCTGCCATCCTATTCAGTCTTTCTGCCTACGCTCAATTCTCCATCCCGTCAAGGATCCTCTCCTCATTCAACATCTCACTCAGTCACCCGTGGAGGAGGATCAGTCAGTTTGTGGACGGTGGATGGAATGCCCGCCTTTGCCCAGTCGTGAGCATGAGAACTCATTTAGTTTTTGTTCCTGTTTTTTGCTTTCCTTTTCTGTTCTTTTTGTGTTGGGTTCCCCAAGAGCCGTTTGCGGGGGTGACGTGATATAGCATACGGTAGCGATGTAGTACGTAAAGTGACGGCTTTACTCGTACATTCTACTTTCTCGACGTTTCTCTTTTGTGTTCGGATTTACTTTTGGTTATTTCTACACGGATGCGCCGTGTCTATATAAGTCCGTGAGTGGCAGTACTTTTGGATCAGTTCTCTCATTACGAGTTTTGGCAGTTTCGGAGTTTCTAATTAAAATATCGTCGGAGATGCAGT